AAAAGTAGTGGGTTAGAACTAAAATTTGATGTCTTTTAAAGTATATTCGTAAAACTTCACTCTGACTTACTGCTAGTTAGCTGTCAGCAAATATTCAAATTAATAATGAAAAAGATAATGTGCATCACGTAAAATAGACATTTTTTTCTCCTCTGTTATTCATAATTTGTTTAAGGAATACTTTGGAATAGTTTTCGTTTTGTATTATTATAGAGAATGCGATATTTTACAAATCATGACTTGAAATAATCTCGAAGAAAATAGCTACAAATATTTTTCAAAATGATGATTTTATTTATGTAACTTTCATTATTTAAGGTCTCTTCCTCAAAAGGTGTCAGTATTGATCGAAATGACCAAAATTAAGATAGAGAGATGTGAAGATAGTTCGTCACCTGTTCTTTCAAAGCCATAAAAAGTTTGTCTAAATACTTCTATTTTTCTAAAAATATTTCAAGATTTATCTAAACCTCTTATCTAAAGATCAGCAGTTTTTTAACAAACTAAAAAATATTTTTCATTTTTTAATATTCTGACAACCAATTATTGAGGATCTTCAATCAATATACATAAATGTTTTTTTGTTTATTCTTCAAGAGCATGTCAAGATGCAGCACATTACAGAGTTCTTATGTTTATTAAGTTTTGTTTTTTATTATATATACAGACACTTATTTTTGAGCTATTGAACTTATTCTAATTATTTCTAACGACATATATGAAGTGAAACGAACTACGCATTTTGTAGTTCAACCTTGATTCTACAACCTGTTATATAAAAAAGACTTCATTATAATTTGAATTGAGTTAGCTTTAATTAAAATTTTTTGATTTCTGTCAAAGATTTGCCTTAATAAATTAACTGTACTTGAAAAAGAAATATTCCGTGTATATATTTAGAGAAAGTGTGAAATTTTTATTCTAGTTAACTGCTTTGATTCTTTCTTGTATATAATAAACAGGCAAAAATCGAACAATGAATACTTTTTAAAGACCGGTTAATATGGGTTATCATCTAGTAAAATTTAAGTCTGATATAAAAATTTAGAAAAGGTACAACGTATTGTAAAATGTGTCCGATTCTTTAAATATTATTGAAAAAGTTTTTTTCAAAAGAAAACCTCACATCTAATGTAAAAAAAGGCAGTTCTTATTGTTGAAATAATAAATTAAAACTGAATAGAAAATGTTTGATTATTGAAAAAAATAAAAAATATTACATTCAAATTTTCCTTAATACACACACATTGATAAACTAGAAAAAAAGAAGGCATACGATTATGAATAAAGTCTTTTAATAAAAAAATAAACAATTTTTCTTTTTTTATTTTCATTCCCATATGGTTGAACAATAAAGTTGTTCAAGTGCTTCTAATATAATTTGAGATGTTTGTCCTATTGAATTAATGGTAATTAAATATTGATAAAGAAGTAATTTGATATCATCATTCATTGTAACAGTAGTTATTGTTGATGTTTCAGTTTTTGATGGTTTTTTTTTTTTTATAGATCTTTCAGTTATTACTGTTTGTTCAGTAGTTGTTGTAAATTGTTCCTAATATATTAAATAGACAAAAAAAAAATTATTTTACTATAACAATTTTATTTACATTATTTAAAAATAATTTCAATTAAATGATCAAGTGTTGTTGGTTTTTCATCTTTTATTCGTTGTATTATATTTCCCATAGGTATTAAAACTTGTTGTTGTATTACATTAAATAAATAATTTTCTAATTGTTCTGAACTATTCATTATTACAATAAATTTATTTGTTAAATTTTTAAGTTTAAAAAATATTTCATGAATTATTTGAACATTTAAATTTGGATGAATACTTTTAACAAATCAATCTGGTAAAGTACCATTTTTCAATAAGTTCTTCATGAATTGTATCAATATAAGTTATATTAATAATACTTTCAATAAAATGTTCAAAATCAAATTCAACTTCAGCAGCATAATATAAACTTTTACCTAATTTTTCATAATCAATATCACGCATAATAGCCGGAATAATTGCATCAGCATTAATATTTTGTCGAATTTTAAACATTGTTTCATTATTATTAATAACTAATAAAGCTACTTTAGTATAATTAACATCTTTAAATGTATTAGCAACCATTTGTTCAAGTACAGATCCTTTAAAACCAGCATTATCTTTTGATGGATTTTCAGTGAAGAGAAAACGTTTTTCTCGATGATGTTGATTTGGAAGTGATGATGATGAAGCACAATAATAGCGTATTGCAAGTTTATCAATTTCTGGTACAATAACTGTAATACTATTCGCTGTACGAAGAAAACCTATTTCAAGGCAAAGGAAATACAAGAAAAAAGCAAACAAAAGACGCATTGTCGAATATTATTATTATACACTATTTACCAAATGTATTGTATATATATACTGAGTATACACCGTACAGTATTTTCTTTTTTACCAATTATCTCTCAAATATTTACCAATTAGATGTAGAAGAATTTGTGTAGAATTATTGGTATGTTAACAACTTCTCAAAAAGAAATAGAATATGAATGCCAATCCTCAAATATGATTAGTTAAAGAATGATAATCTATTAGATAATTAGACATTACAATATATAATTTTTTTTTTTCGAAAATTAACTGAATGCCGAGTTAGAACAAACTTATTTGTGTAAATACAAAGATATGTATTTGTTTCATCTGACATCTTTCCATTAAGACAAAAGACTTTCATTCCATATTTTAGGTTTTCTTGAAGAGAAGTAATTTTACAATAGGTTGTTGAATGAATAGCTATCTGTTTTTTTTTTTTTTTTGAACTTACATTTTAATTAACTCTGAACTTTGTCTACAAAGAAAAGTTCAATTTTTATACTGAAACAAACATATTAGTTTTTTTATAATGATAAATAAGAGGATGATGCAAAAAAGAAAAGCCACAATGGTGTTTCATTCGATTCAGCTCAAAACACTGAACAAAGTTTCAATAGAACTTAAATCAAAGATTAAAGATAGTATATCAACATCTCACGATTTGCTTCGAGAAGTTATCACTAAAGCATTATTCAGTGTTAATAGAAATTATGAAACAGCATAAAAACTTAATAAAAATTGAAAAATCACAACTTTAAATTGTCAAACTCAATAAAGACTTCAATTATGAAAATGATTTTCTTGTATTTAACTAATCTGTTCTTTATGTAAGACTCATCTGCCAGTGTATCACTTCATTATCTGTAGTTTAGGAAAAATAACTACACATTTCTTTTTTTTTTTGTTATTACAATTATTATGCTGAAAACATTACGTTTAAACTTGAATCTCTTGAAAAAAATTCTTAAATTGTGTTTACATGTCTATGTCAATCAATTACACTTTCACACTTAAAATTACTATTGACAATAGTTCATAGAAGTTGCATAGAGTCTATAAGGTTTTATTATTTTCTTTTCTAGATGAAAACATCAAATGTTCATTTATTAGTTACGTGTGACAATACTGTACTAATGTAATCAGTACTTTTTCCTATTTAATTCAAAGAAATACATAGAGAATAAGCATTTCATATCATTAACTATAAACAATTATTAACTAAGTCTTTATCAAAAAGAAAATAATTAATTAAATACACCGATAAATGATAAATTACATCTTCACTTTGAGAATTCTTATAAAAATATATAAATTTATAGATAATTCTATCCACTCAGATCATACTAACATAATATTAACATAAAATAAAGACATTTGGGATGTCTTTAGTGATCATTTTCTCATAATATAAAGCTAAGATTATTTTCAAAAATCATAGAATATATTGATCATGATTTAATTTAAGTCTTTCATAAACAATCATAATATAACCAAAACTAATATTTCTTCCATTAATTTATAGATTAATTATTATGAATTAGATGAATAATGCAATTGCTCTGATTGAAATTATTATTTCAAATATTTCCTGATTGTCAAATAACAAATGTCGACAAAATACATTATCGATTATGGTTTTAATAAATATTTTTTTTAATTACGATACGAAAGGAAAACAGATTATATAAAAAAAAATAGTGAAAATGTTCAAATTCATGGAAAATTAATAAACGGAATAAGAACTGGTGTTTGCTTTCGATAAATATGATAAGTTGGATCGTTTCCATATATTTTCATAGCTTGTTTTTCTAATATTGTTATACCAGTTAAAAATGAAATGATTAATGTTACAAATATTGGTGAAAATATTTGAAATAAACGTTCATATCCAACAAGTATATGTGATGATGATATATAAAGACCTAACCATGTAGATATTTCACCAAAATAATTTGGATGTCTAGAATATTTCCAAAGTCCTATATCAATAAATTTACTCTAGAAAAAGAAAATATTATTTAAATAAAATAAATAATTAAATAAGAAACTTTATTATTTGGATTATTTTTAAATGACATTTTTTGTTTATCAGCTATAATTTCAAAAATAAAAGCAAATAGCCAAATACTCCAACCAATATAATCAGTTTTTATTAATGGTTTATCAATTTGTTTTTGATTAAGATAAAATGTTGGTAAAAGTGTCATAATTACCCAAATATCTGTTCGAAAAAAAAAAGATAAACAATTAGTATTTAAATAAATTCTTTTGTAATTGTTTAACCTTGCATCATCCAAGTAATAAATAATTTAAATGGAGAATTTCGCATATGATCAAAACGTGAATCTTTACCAGTTTTTAATATCCGATAGAAAAGAAATATACCTAATCTAAATAATAGAATGAAACGAATTATAAATGATCTATAAAATATGAAAATAGTTTTAAGAATCAGTGGTTTTTTTTTTGCTTAGTTTAAAATATAGAAAATATTTTTTTTCTAGAAAAATCTCTTCAATCAATGGTTTTATCTAAAGAATAACTGTAAAATCGATAAATAAATACCGTGAGAGTAAAGAACAACAAACTTCTCTTAATCATTTTTGTTTATTTTAAAAATAAAACAAAAATAAAAATAAAAAATGTCCATTATTTATTTAAAAAAAACTGAAAATCTTGTTGTAATGCTTCAACAAACAATTCATATTTACGTATCTGTTTATCACTAACTGATCGTCGAGCAGATTTCATAGCTTCTTCAAAATCTTCACGACGAATTTCTGGTACTGGTGCTGGTTGATCAGAATTCATTGTTGTTGTATCTCTTGTAGCTAATAAACAAGCTTGTTTGCACATTTTTGTTAAATCAAGACCACTAGCAGCCAAATAATTTATATCAACATCTTGAACCACCATTAATTTTGTTAAAGTTTCTATAATATCAACACGTGATTGCTAATCTGGTAATGGAATATAAATTAATTGATCCAGACGACCTAAATGAAAACAAAAAAAATTGTAGTGTGCTAAATAAAATAAATAATTTTTCATTTTCTTACCTGGTCGAAATATAGTTGAATCGATAATATCTGGTCGATTAGTGGCACCAATAATAAAAACATTCTTCTTTATATTGATACCATCTATTTCAGTTAAAATTTGATTAATGGCACGATCAGTTACACCACTACCATCGTCAGCACTATCGCCATGAGATTTAGCTAAAAACAAAAAACAAAAAGTTCTCTTTATTGCTGTTCTTTTTATCTTACCAATTACATCTAATTCATCAATAAAAAGTACGCATGGTGCTGCTTGACGAGCGTTTATCAAATATATCACGGACAGTAGTATCTGATTCACCAAACCACATAGTTAATAACTGAGAACCTTTTACCGAAATAAAATCTGCTCCACATTCAGTAGCCATAGGTTTTGCTAATAATTTTTTACCTAAAATGAAATATTAAATAATGATCAAAATAGAAGAAAAAAATCGATATCAACTTACCACAACCAGGTGGCCCATAAAAGAGAATACCACTTGATGATATTTTATCAAATTCGATAAATTTTTTCGGATATCCCGCATTATATTGAATATGTTTTTGTAATTCATGTTTAACATTTTTTGAACCACCAATATCGTCCCATGTTGTTGTTGGTTTTTCAACAACTATTTCACTTAAAGCTGATGGATTTGATTGATTAAATGCCAATCGAAAATTGTCTTGTGTAATAGTTAATGAATTGAGTACTTCAACATCAATTATATCTTTTTGAAAATTCATAACATCTTTTTTTTTCTTTTATTTGTTGTACAACAGCTTTTGCAAATAATGATGCTAAATCTGCACCAACATAGCCATGCGTGTCATTAGCAATTTGTACAAGATCAACATCATTTAATTTCATATTTCTTGTATGAATATAAAGAATTTCTAAACGACCAGCAGCATCAGGAATACCAATATCAACTTCTAGATCAAAACGACGAAGTGCTGGATTAACTGAATTTCGTTGATTTGTTGCTGCCATAACAATAACATGTGAACATTGTTTAACACCATCCATTAATGTTAATAATTGTGATACAATACGACGTTCAACTTCACCATGTGTTTTTTCATGTTTTGGTGCAATTGCATCAAGTTCATTAATAAAGATAATAGCTCGAGAATTCTAAAAACAAATATAGAAATAGATTTTAGAAAAGATGTGCTCAATTTTTAAGTTAAAATGAAAGTAAAATTTCCTGTTTCTATAGACTAAACATTTATTATATCATAAGAAAGAATAGACAAGGACTCATTTGCTTAGATCATAATCTTCTTCGAATATGATTGAAATGAGTAATTTACAGATTCAATAGATTTTAGAAAAGTAAGTTTCTTTAATTCCCTTTGTTGGTCATATATTTTAAAACTATTGAGATTTAACCTGATCGAATATTTTTGCTCATAAGAATACTTAGAAAACATTTCTTTAAACTGATGCTAAAAAACGTAATATTACCTTTTCAGCTTCTTCGAAAGCCTTACGTAAATTTGATTCTGATTCAACAGCTAATTTCGACATAATTTCTGATCCATTAATTAAACAGAAGAATGCACCTGTTTCATTAGCTACAGCACGTGCAATTAAAGTTTTACCTAAAATTAAAATACAAAAATTACTTAATATATTTCTTTTAATAAAAATATTTTATTTTTATCATACCTGTGCCTGGTGGTCCATAAAGAAGAATACTACGTGGTAGTTTAACATCAACTGTTTTCTATAGTTGTGGATGTATTAATGATAATTCAACCATTTCTTTAATTTGTGCTAATTGTTTTCTAACACCACCAATATCATCATAACCAATTTTATTTAAAGATATTTCTTCTTCACCTTTAATTGGATAACAATGTATAACTGTAGCTGGTGTAACAATACAGGAAGGACTTGGTTCAGTTTCAATCACTTTAAATTGTACAGCATGCATAGCTGCATGAACAATAAAAACATCACCTTCATGTACTAGTCGATTAGATTCATTAAAATATGGTTTTAAATAAAGTTCAACTAAATTTCCTGTTATTCCTTGTACAGTATCATCAATTGGTAAAACAAGTATACGTGTACCATATTTAATATCTTGACAACGTTCAATTGAAACAATATCACCTAATTGTACACGTAAATTGTTGTGTACAAAACAATTCATTTGAATTATATTATCTGCATACGCAAGACCATGTTTAACGACACAAATTCTTTAACGTTTTTTACCTTTGACTATTACAATATCATTCTTCGATAATTTAAATTGTTCTATTTTTTCATATGATAATAGAATATTATCCTCGTTTGTATGACCTACGATTAATTTATCAACGATTATTTTTTAATCTAAAAAGATTATATTAAATATAAAACTAGACATTTTCTTTCTTTTCTTTTCGTTTTTTTTTCTGATGTGATATATTAGATGATATATGTTTTCATTTGTTGTTATCCTTTCTTCTTACTTTTAATCCTAGTTTATTCTGATCATATATATGTTGCTATTTTATTGAAAACAAGTTAAGAATCAGTTTTGACTGGCATCTATCACACATAACATCATTTGTTCATGCAATAATATATAGTTTCAATCAGTCATGTCTTTTTCTTTTCTTGGTTGTTGTTTAAATCAAATTATTTTTATTTCTTATTCTTGAAAAAAAAAATGACATAAGAAAAGGGTTATGATTCAAAAACTAATGGTGATCATAATGATAAATATTTATTTGATATAGATTTATTACAACCAATATTAAAAGAATATTCAATAAAAGATCCAAAACTTTATGATAATATTTATGATGAAAAATATTTAATTCGTCCATTAAAAATCTCTGATTATGATCATGGTTATATTGAATTACTTAGTCAATTAACTGAATTTGGTACAATTACATATGATGGATATAAACAACGTTTTAATCAATTAAAACAATATTTAAATACATATTATATACTTGTTGTTGAAGATATTAATTGTAATAAACAAATTATTGGTACTGCAAGACTTGTTTGTGAAAAAAATTTATTCGTCAATTAGGTATACGTGGTAGAATTGAAGATGTTGTTATAGATAATCGATATCGTGGACAACAACTTAGAAAATTACTTATTAATTTATTAACAAAATTTGCACAAGATAAATGTGATTGCTATAAAATATCATTAGAATGTAAAGATCATTTAGTTAGTTTTTATCAACAATTTGGTTATAAACATGAAGATAAACAAAATTTTGTTATGTCAGTGTTTTAAACATTTATCAATTAATCAACAATAAGAAAATATTTCAAATAAAACACTTCAAGAGCATGCTAATCTTTTCAATGCTTTTCTCATTTTCGTTTTTTTTTCATTTATACCGGTGCATTGTATACCTTTTATCATTTTTTATTTATTTAATGAATCTCATACAAGTTTTGTTTCTCATTTAAAAAAATATATATATACATTCATCAAGGGGATTATAAACGAAATAAAGAACAAATCATATTGTAGATTGAAAATAAAGATCATGCGATATCTACAGTTTCGACGTACACTCTACAGTCTAACTGGCAAATAGGTATTTATTTAATGATTTTCATATTCACTATTTCATTGAACAGTGTAAGCATTAGCAGATCTAGCAGTTCGCCTACCATCAATCACTCTACATGAATTTTTTATTCTTGGTAGAAATGAAAAAAAAAAATCACTTTTCCAGTTTTATTGCTTCAAAAGTCGTGTTTTTTGTTTTTATTACGACCACTGACATCTCATTGATATTTTGAATCCGTGACTCTCTTTAAAATAACTTTTGAACAAATCATCAATCCTTCTTCCAGACATTTTCTACTTCGAGACACTTCTGATCATCATATGTTAGAAAACATTAATTTGATAAATAAGTCCCTTAAATTATTTTGACTATGGTGCATATTGAAATATTTTGTTCTGAAACTAAAATTCAATAGAATTATTTCTAATAAATGGATAGGCGTTAAATAAAAAAAAAAAGGAAATAAGTAAAAGGTTTTATTTCTAAACCTATAGAATGAAAAACAAATAATTCAATAAAACTTCTTTTACATCTTGTTTTTTATTTTAGCCAAAATGTTCAGCAATAGAACGAACAAAAGAAATTGAACGACATTGGATACCAAAATTATTTGATGAACAGGAAAAATATGAATCGAATCAAGTAAGGAAAACTGATTTTCTTTTTTTTTATTTAACATTAATTATTTAAATAAAACAAAAGGAATGATAATGATGATAAAAAGCAAAAAATGTATGTTCTACCAATGTTTCCTTATCCATCTGGTCGTTTATATATGGCTCATGTTCGTGTATATACTTTAAGTGATACATTAGCACGATATTATCGAATGAGAGGTTATAAAGTAAGTTTTCTAATTAATTTAATCGATGATATTTGCTTTTTTTTATTTATTAAATATAAAATAGGTTATTCATTGTATTGGCTAGGATGCATTTGGTTTACCAGCTGAAAATGCTGCTTTTGAGCGATGAGAAGAACCAGAAGAATGGACACAAAAGTAAAAATATTTTATTAGATAAATTAAATTCTAAATTTATTTTTCGTGTTTTATTCTTGATAAAAATATTGCATATATGAAAGAACAAATAAAACAACTTGCTTGTAGTTTTGATTGGAAACGAGTTAATGGAATATTTTTTCTCTCTAATTATTTGTTTTTTTTTTTTTTTAATATTCAATAGGAATTATCAACATGTGATTCAAATTATTATAAATGGACACAATATATTTTTTTAAAACTTTATCGTGAAGGATTAGTTTATCAAAAAAAGATTAAATTAATAAAAGAAAACAACTAAAAAATAATAATTTAATTAATTAATTAAAAAAACTTTTGCTTATATTTTAGGCAGCTGTTAATTGGAATCCAATTGATCAAACAGTTTTAGCTGATGAACAAATTGATGAAGCTGGTCGTTCATGGAGATCAGGTGCAATTGTTGAAAACAAAATTCTTAAAACAATCTTTTATTCGTACTCGTGCATTTACATAGGTAAATAAATAAAATAAATACAAACATTTCTCATTAATAAAAATAATGTGATAAGAAATTGAATATTTACATATCGTATATATGATCTTAGTCGTCCGAACGATGATTCTATTTATTTAAAGAATCGGGATCATTATTTTATTCCGCCCACCTTTGCGTATTTTTTAATAGAATAGACAAATTTTCTTCTCTCAATGTACGTGTATATATGCGTTTATTTATTATTGGTATTTTATTTTTCTTCATCTATTCCTTTTCTGACTTTTTCTTCTACGGAATAATAATGACAATAATGCCTTGTCTATATCTTTTAATAATAATTATTGTACTGGATAAAACAAATGGTATACAAAAAGCATTTTATTCATCAAAAACACCATATAAACTACCATTATTAACATTAAATTTACCATTACCACCAGCCGGATTTGAATCAGTATGTGTACAAATTCTTGCTCGACATGGTTGTCGAGCATTAGAAGGTCGAAAATATGATAAATTAACAATGACATTATGGACACAAGCAAAACAAGAAGAAGTATTAACTGAATATGGTAGAAAATTGGGAGAAAATTTACAAGAATTTATTGCTATTAATGATAAATTAGGGTAAGTATTTATTTTATATTTTTTAATCTTTAATAGAATTTTTATTTATATCATCTTATTAAATAGACGTGGTGAATTATCTGGTCTGGGTAAAATTGAACATCAAGGTCTTGCAAATCGTTTAATTGAACAACTTTCAGCATTATTTTAAAAAATTCTTTTAAGTGATTCTTCAAATCGTATTCAAGTTGTTACTAGTGGAAAATCTCGTACAATAGCAAGTTTAAATACATTTATTGAAGGTTTACCATCAACATTAACTTCTTTAATTGATTACGAACCAGCAAATCAAATTTTACTTTATTTTCATGATAATAATAAATATGAAACATATTATAGAAAAGATAGACAATTAAAAAATAAAATTCGTTCAATTGAAATGCAATTATATTCAAAACAGATGGCACGTAATCTACTTGAACGTTTATATAATGTATCATTTGTTGATAGACTTGCTAATAGATATAATACAATTATTGATAGTGAATTAGGAAAATCAATAAAAAATGAAGTAGATGCTGTTCGTATGTTTCATGGATTATATTTAACTGGTTCAAATTTACGTGTAGAAGGTGTTGAATCTTTATTAGAAAAATATTTTCTTTCAGATGAATCAGCTTGGTTTGCTTATCTTCAAGATGCAAAAGTAAATATTATTTAATTAATATTTAAAGCAAGAAAAAACAAAAAAAAAAAAGAAATTTCTAAACAAAATTTTTTTTTGTTTTCCATTTTCTTTGTTAGGATTATTATGAAAAAGGTCCAGCATTTTTAAATCGAACAATAACATATGATATGGCTCAAATATTACTTGATGATTTTTTTCTTCATTCAACACAATGTTCACAAATTGATTTAAAATATTTTCTTCGTGCACATTTTGCTCATGGTGAAACAATAATTCCATTTGCAGCTCTATTACAAATACCTATATTAAGTGATAAATCCACACCATTTAATGATACATATACATATAACGGGTGGATCGAAAGTTTTCGCACAAAATGTTTGTTCATTTTTGGCCTGCTTGAAAGTATTTCAGATGAGTCAAAAACTATGGGTTAAGA